GAAGACTTGATATGCAAGCACAAGGAAATATACCCTGACATTATCGTTGAGGCATTATGTTTCCCTTCTTCTGCAAGGCAACTGATGCCCAGAACAATTACAAACCCTGGCTCAAAGGGCAGGGGTGTCAAGCATCCCCTGTCAAAACACTGTCACTAAGACTAAGGGAATAGCATGTTTTCTATTGCTAGAACCAGTAAGCCGCTTAGAGACTGGAAAACAACGAGTCGGGGAGGCAGATTATGGAAGGAAAAGGAGCAACGGGAGATGAGATCAATGAGAATGCGGCCCAACCTCTAGTGTCAAATGTCAACACATGGCAGGGCATCTGACGTCTGACTGACTACAGCATATAGACCCCAGGGATGTGTTTACACACACATATGACCCTCTCTGCAGACAAACGAGCAAATCTGAATCATCAACGTGTTGCTCAAATCCGTTTCTAAAGCAGATCTCAGACTAGTAGACCACGCTTGAGTGATACATCTAATGTTTATAGAACAATCTACCAGTCTTTCAATTTATTTATCATCATTTATCAATGGAATTTTATTTAGGCACTTTAAAATGACAAATTTAAACCTTAATACTAAACAATGGTATCAAAGCTGAGAGATTTCATGCATTTTTGTGCATTCTTTATACTTAAATGCTTAATTAATCGCATCTGAACTTTACTTTGTGCAGTATTTTAGCTGATTGGTCCAAGGAATGCGGTTTGAACTTGTCAATTAGAGAGCAATGTCTAAGCCTGTCCATAAATCCTGTCATCTAGATTAAATATTGGTGGTAAAAAATCCAGGTCTGATAGTCAAACCTTTTATAATACATTAGTTTGGGGTGCGTACAATTTATGCTTTTATCATACAGAGTTTTAAAACAGATATACTGTGAAATACCCTCCTTTGAAATAATTATTGTTGTGATGACACATCAGAATTTTTCCCAGCTTTCAGTGTTGCATGATCTGTCAGAAATCATTCAATTATGAAGATTTGATGCATGTTAAAAATAGAACTGTATTGCTGAATCATATTTATGTTAATGTATGCTTGCTGAATGCAAGAAATGCAAAGGGTCAGCTAAACATGCTGTTGTTCAAATGTTTTGAAATAGATTTATTTATTATTATTTTGTTTTGTTTTTTTCTTGAAAGAATTTGGTAGTCTTAATCCATTTAACGTAATGACAGTTAATTAATTACAAACATAAAAGAAAATTCAAACAAGCTTCATTTAAAGTTTATTTCTGGATCACAGACTCATAAAAGGCCCAAATCTTGCAAGTCACAAATAGCTGCCACAGCAATCAGTCATGGCTTGTATGCCTAAATGAGGACAATGATGTGTGGGAATAGATTGTAGAATAGCTTTGGGATTAGCCTTAAAGAAAACGTGAGCATCAAGCTGAGCTCCACCACATTAACTCAGCAACCCTCAGAAAAGGCCTTAGAGTCACTCCTGTGGCTAAACTGAAACAAAATATATCCATTTTACAAAACCAAAAGCACACGTCAGCCATCTTTACACCCGCTTTTTCTCGAAAATTAATCACATGACCCACAAGGAGGAAGGAAAGCGTGACAGGGCCACCAGGTTTCATGAGGTCCTTTGGCCTAAAAAGGAAGTGCTCCAATTCGCGGAGGGAGGCCGACAGCCTTCTTTTTTTCCCCCCACACTGTCATGTTCTTCCTCTCCAGAGCATCTCCTTTCCTTTCTGCTCAGTTGGTTCCTCTAAAAGTCTCAAACAGTTACAGACAGCTGGCAGTTAATGTGTTGTCATCTCATTACCCACTGGCTTCAAAACGCTACTCCATTTCCTAGTCAAATGTCAGACCTTGGTGGGAAACCACAATGCTTGCTAACATTACACATCTAATATAAAAAGCTTGAAAGGTACATTTAAAGCACCCCAAAACTAATCATCTGTATTTAAGACAATAAATTGTCAAAACATGTTTGACTTTTTGCTACTGTTGAACATAAAAGAAGATATTTTGAAGAAAACTGGTGGCCACAGACTGACTTCCATAGTATTTCTTTTTCCATCACTATGACAGCTAATGGCTACAGTTTCCAATATTCTTCAAAATATTCTCTTTAGTGTTCCAAGTAAAAAGATTTATTGTTTTACAAGTATTGTTGGTAAAATATCCCTTTATAGATTGAAAATTGAAATTAACCACCAGACTGTATGTATACAAAGTGGTCTGCGCCATAGCCTAGCGCAGGGTTTCCCTAACATTTCAGACGATGGTTTCCAAAATAACAATGCCAGTGACTTGTGACCCCCACTATCCTCGGAAATGGCTATAAATATACAAGCTTGCACTCAACAGTGTACACACACCAATTGGCCTGTATTAACACAATAACATTGAGAATATGTAGACCTTTGCTGATTCTATCCCCTCTCGCTCTCCAACTTCACTTCCTGTCAATATTTAGAGTCCTATCATAATAAAGGCAATGATAACAAAAAATTCTAAAAAGGTGCACCCTGATAACACACTGACATTGGATGAATACTCATCCTAGCATGCTGGTTATTCAGACACAGCTCTCCAGAGGAATCAGTCCCGACAGCTGTATTAGGACTGCCATTTACAAAGTCAGATATATTTGCTTCCCTGACAGACCCCCATGTTTGTTTGCATACGGGTTGACTCCCTCAAGAGCTCAGCTAGGAAGTTCTGACAGAGCTTAAAGCAAAACCTGGAACAATCATGACTATAATTATACATGAAACTGATGCACCTGAAACCGAAATCACAGCAAACGCAGATCTAAACATAGAAGTTTCTACAAGGACCCAGACCAGATTTTTTATTGCTGTTAAAATAGTGGGCGGGCTTCTTCTTTTTTTTTTTTTTTTTTTTTTTTTTTTAAAGGAAGTCCACATCTCTTCAATTTGTTTCAACAGAGCCTACAGACCGGCATTCCTCTGTGCCCAAGAGGACACACTATCACCGGGATTTCCTTCCTCTTGCTCTAGGAGAGACAGGATTGGGGTCAGACCCCAATAGGGTGAGGTCGCCCTGACCTACCACTCCAAAAATGATCTCGACTTGACAATTTGGATATGTACAAATTAATTATACCAATTATACTATTTGTAGAAAGGACATAAATAAATAAATAAATAAAGCATAGATAATCTATGACTGTGTTAACTAATTCTTACAAACAACAAAACTGCACTGACAACACAGGAAATGTACATAAGCGTCATACTCTTATCAGACTTTGGCAGTGACAGATATATTGCTGCTTACTTTTCCGCAATTGGGAATGACAAGTGCTTGCTCAAGACCGCCTTTTAAAAAGGCAATTATATGCGCTTGGTGGTTGCACAATTTTTTTTATACACAAACCCAATAGAAATTCCACAAACTCTAAATGGAGCCATTTTGCTGAAAAGGGTGTTCACACAAAGGTGGAATTAATGCATTTACGAAAAAGGTACATGAAGAACATTGCTGTGTAATTATGAATAGAATGGGAAGGTGAAGTTATGAACAAAATGCATTGTTAATCAAAAATAGAGTTTTTGATGATGTGTGATGCGATGTCACAGATGATAAATGGAAAGAGTCTACATGGAACAATAGATGCAAAGAACATTTACTTTTAAAAGTGAAGCAATCTGTAGAATAATAATTTGCAACAAATCCTAAAAGTTCAGTTACATTTTACAAAAAAAATAATTAGCAGGCAAAAAAAATCTGTTGCCAATAGTATAGCGATCTGAAGCATGTCTTAAGTAAAAACTTCTATTAGTGAGTATGACATTTACGTGACCAACTTAAAGCATAAGCGGAAACTTATTATGAAACTCCTGACTGTGCAGATGAGATTTTTACTGAAATGTCTTTTGCACACAAAAATTTGCCAAACTGGTACTCATGACCGCACCTTAAGACTGCACTGATGCTGCGTTTCATTCATACTGAACAGACACACATACAATGTCCAGCTGAGCTGGAAGCTTGCATATTCAAGTAGTTATTTATTTATTTATTTATTTATTTTCAACCAGACTTCAGAGCAGACACAAAGCAAGCTCAGAGCAGCCACTGTAAAGACACCTCTGTAGAAAGGCTGTTATAATTTGACAAGAGTCCTGTCATTAAAGATCAAGCCATTAAAAATGCATGGAGAAGCAACAGGATCTTCTTTAACAACCTCTTTGAGGGACTTCACTCATACATCCCTTCTCATAAGGACAATATTCAAAATGTCACATCCAACTAGGAGTCTATATAAGGGCCCCTGGCCAGCCAAGGGAATGTTTTTGATCATTCTTTCCATTAACTCCCAATGCAAACCAATCCTACGCTATCTGACAGATAGTCCAACGTTAAAGAAATCCGAGTCTCCTTTTTTCTCTCTCCAGCTCTTCTTGAATGAACCAGTCATCTCCCCTCGACTGAGGAACAGAATAGAACTAGGCGGGGCCGCTAATCAGTCAAATCTAGAAGGAAACACTGCATTAGAAGCGCTAAATGTGCCTTTTAGCACAACGCCTGACACTCCTCACTCATCCCTTCACATAAACCTTGTCGAAAAAACGGACAAAAGCAGAAAATCTACGCTTCGTTAAACTACTCATTCGTACAACTTTTCCATTTCCGCTATAACTTCAACAGCGCCGTGAGCATAAGACAACAAAAAACGCCATTCTTCACGCAACAAAACACATCAAAAACCCACATTGATCCACATCAAACTTCCTGGCGACTGTTCTGGCCGTAAAGCCGAGTCTGGTAAATCTAAGGAGTTGAATTGTTTCACTCCAGCTCCGCCATATTCTAGACATCCGAGCTGCTCTTCCGCAAACCCCCGTGCCGGTCTGCTTTGCAACATTGTAACATTCCGCCGTTACAGGATTCTATCAATCGAACAGTGACATCATCATAATCGCCTCGCAGCTCCCGCGCAACACGCTCGCCGTTGCGGTTCTAATGCCACAAAATCTCGCGCAAATGCGATACTTACGGCAATCCGCTCGAGCTCCAGCCAGTCGGTCCGTCTGCGCCTGTGCCTGTAAACGAGCTGCTCGCCTCTGGGAGGGTGGGTGAGGTTTAGACTCGAGCATGACGTTACAGCCTCGGTTTCAGCACCGTGAGCTCTGCCTACAATAGAGCGTAACGGGAAACGGAGCTGTTTAAAGCACGGAGAACGAGCGCTGCTAAATGTGGCACATGGAAATGACAGCACTGAAAGACATGTACACTTTACTTACAGTACAAGATAAAGAAGGAATGTTGGAGAACAAAGGTGGTGAGAGCGTGTTACAATGACTGTTTTTTGATGGTATTGTATATAATACAAACATGGTTTCCCAATGTTGAAAATTGCTGTGTTAACCACAAAATTACATGAGGATAAAATATTAAATATAATTAGCTTTTATATTTAGGTAATTATCCTATAAATTACACACGTAGGCCAAGGTGTATAATAGCTGTAACATTATGAATAAATAGTGAATAAAATTCGAATTAAATTCAAAAGTATATAACATACAAACATACATGAATACACATATTTAATATTAAGTGATATCAATTATCAATTTCTTGCCATTTATTATATTTTACTGTTTTTTTATATAAATATTAGTAGGTCTATAATGAACAAAAACAAATCTGCTCCTAAATCAAGTAGAAAACACCTCTTCCTGGTTCTGTTTTATTAGTGTTTAAACCATATTTACACAATGGTTTACTTACTGTGGTGATTCAAAAACCAGCCCAAATAACACTGAATTGAGAACATGCCACTTTTACATTTTAACTTTTAACATTTTCCATAGTGCATGCTACATTTCAATGGCATCATTCTAGTCCCAGTATGGCATGAATGGTCTCCTATTCTCCCCGAGCAGCAACTCTCATCCGTCAGAGGCTGACTCTGCCACTCTGGAGGCAAAATCCTCTGCGCCAGTCAAATGGCTCATTGAGAGCAACTAGGAGAAGTTAGGAATGCCAAGTATGCTCTCTGGCATCAGGAATGTGGGCCCACTCCCTGCTGTGGACTACCACCCCCTCCCCTCATGCGGCCCTTATAGACACACAGGCTACGAGCCAGCAATGGTTGCAGCTATGAAGTCAAATTTTTTATTTTCTAAATTTAATATTTCATTTAGTTCTATGACTAACGTTTGAAAATCATGCTTAATAAATTAATATCATGAACAAACTCCTTTTACCAGATCTAATTATTACACACATTTTGCCATTTGACTATGGAATGATTGACTTATGTTAATTGAATTTCTCAAAAATAATGCACACCAGAAGTGATTACACTGTATGTATTAGTTCCTAATAATTAAATGGACTGGAGTTAACTATTCCGCTACGGATACCCTACCTATAGGCATTGTTCAGATGATGCATTTCAAGACATTTTTTAAGGGTTGTTGTCCTCGAACAGCAGCTTTGTGTAGGACTAGTATCTTACACATCTCATCTAATGTCTTTTTGATTAGATTTTTGACAACTGTAGGCTGTGAAATAACTGAAACCATTCAGTGCAGTGATACAGAACTAGAAAGAAAACCTGACTGGCACTACTTTTTCTGCGTGTTTATCTGAAAATAATTGCAGTCCTTAGAATGTTCATCAGCCAATCAGAATCAAGCATTCAACAGACCCATATAATTTGTTTCAAATTATCAGTTGCACTTGGGGTTTGAAAAACTTCCATTCAGTAATATTCAATATTTGTCTATATCTTAGCTGCATTATTTTGCTCTTTGAGTTATGCATGGTCTACTGAAAGTAATTTGTTATATGGAATATGTTTCTATTTAATGATAGATGGATGAATTGTGAGAAGAATAATGACGCTCACTCACTCACTTTTCTTTAATGGCATAGCATGGTACACACACTGTAAAAAATGCTGGGTTCCACAAAATTTCTTCATGTTGTCCCAAGACAAATGGATTGGGTTAACTTAGTTTTGCAAAAGTAAGTAGAATGAGCATAAAACAATTAAGTTGTCACAAAAATGTTAGTATTGTGTTGTTTCAACTCATTTTAAATAAGTAGTTTGAACAAGCAGCAATAGCAATTTTTTGAGTGCATTTTTAAAAAAAATATTTCACTAATTGTTTTCAGAGTAACAGAAGTGAGCAGATGCAAATCATGGGATGTAGGAACAAGGTGGGTTGCATTGTTACATTGTTATTGTTTTTAATACATCATGTGACCGTATTAATAATGTTATTATGGCATTAATAAAGCAGGAAGATCAGGGTTTATCATATTTGGCAAAAGGTAATCTTAATTGGTGGCAAAAACAATCAGAAATGAATGCGCTGATAGTTTATTGCTGAAGTGACCACATTTTCTCAATCACAAAGATCAAAGCTTTAAAGGCACTACAATATTGATCAACATTCATATAGAGCAGGGGTGTCAAACTCAATTCCTGAAGGGCCGAAGCCCTGCACAGTTTAGTTCCAACCCTGCTCCAACACACTTACCTGTAGGTTTCAAACAAGCCTGAAGGACTCAATTAGTTTGATCAGGTGTGTTTAATTAGGGTTGGAACTAAACTGTGCAGAGCTGCGGCCCTTTTGGAACTGAGTTTGACACCTGTGATATAGAGCATAAGTTCTTATTTATAATTTATACACCAATTCTTGTTAATTATTACAACAAAAAGTATTAAAATATGATCAATTAGTCATGACAACTTACGTTTTTATGTTAATCGTAATTTATTAAACCTTTTTTTATATCAGCTGTGTATACAATAAAGGAGACCTATTAGGCAAAAATCACTTTTATAAGAGGTTTAAATGCAGTTTTGTGGCAAGTGTGTCAATATAGCTAGCATATTATTTATAATCACACTTGATATAAACAGTCTGCAGAAACACTGATAGACATTCTTTCTTTGTACATGTCATCAGTGAGGGAAAGCCCTGCCCATTAGTGACAATGTCTCCCTCATTAGCATAAACACCCCTGAGTGCAGAAGCAGCCATTCGCCATTAGAGTTTTAACCTGCTGAAGATAATGTCAGACTAAGAGGGTAATGAATGTGGAAATCTAGGATGAACACTGTAGTCTGCCTTCTTCTGAGACAATTCTTTTTACATTTTCAGTTTCTCACAGAAACATTGTTTGCTTGTTTTGTTTTGCTGTCTCTTATAGGTGAAGACTTATAGGTGTTTGTAACTCCGCCCTCTTTAGAAAAAGAGCACAATCTCATTTGAATTTAAAGCGAAATCACCGAAATGGCACAATTTAGATCAAAGCCTAAAGGGGGCAGTTTCAAAGAGGTAAGCTGATACTCATTTGAATTGGGAAAATATTCGTTTGTGGCCACTTTTCAGTCCCATCACACATTAAAGTGAATTGATATAAAATCAGTGTACACAACAGTCTCTGCTTGCTGCATCACAAATACCAACATTTTAACAATTTAAAAAATGAATCACTTTCTGGCCATCGGATATTAGGCATGGATATATATATATATATATATATATATATATATATATATATATATATATATATATATATATGTTGTGATCGTGATTTTCGAAAGTATTACAATGCTTTGTAAATGTTAATTATTAAGTTTCCCCATACAGTTTGATAAAGTGCTTGAACCCAGAAGCCGCTTCGCGTGACGTCACCCTTAACAAGCAGATGAAACGTTTTTTTGTGGGGTATTGTGAGCTGAAAGTTTACAATACACACTAGACTTGGTCAAAGAGGCAAAATAGGTCCACTTTAAGTCAGTTTAATCTGTACATCAATGCAATTAATACATTAAACTGAGCTAAAACAGATGGTATAGCTTGTATAACTAAATTATATCTATAAAATGGCATATATAAAAAAAATGATAAAAAGTCATGACAGCAAATTTTTTTATGTTACTTTAACTTATTTTAATGTTGATATAGTTTAATGTTTTTAAGCCCTAAATTTTATTTGTTGCAACAGTAAAAGGGGAACTAAATGCAATCGTTAATTAATACTTGCAGTCTGTAAAAGGTAAGAAAGCTATATACGTTTTTCTTTTTTTCACTCTCTACTGCACTTCTTTACCAAACGAAAGCAAGCTGTGGAAGCCCCAATTTTTTTTTGTTGCCATCAACAAGTTTAACATAATATCTTTGGTCAGTTTTTGATGTACATTGAGAATTTAAAACGTTTATTCAATTCAACAACAACAACAACAACAACAAAAAATCAGGCTGCAAGATTTTTACAGTGAAATTTAAGTTCAAATTACTCGTAAAAATAATCTGATACTATTTTAAAAGTTAAGGCAACCATATAATTTCAATAAATAAGTAAAATGTCTTGCATTTAGCTGTTATTATTGCAAAATTCTTAACAACCTCCAGACCTCAAACATTTTCAAACCCCTTGTGTAGTCATAAGTTACAAGGACTGAATGTTGTGTGCTCCAGTGGTGTGGTCCTTTAGTGCGGATCAGTGACCAGTGTGTGGTTTTGCTGCTCTTTACTAATGGTGAGACTGAGAGACAAGACAACATTAGTGTGCCGCCACTAAATCAGCATTTGGCTCAGTTGACGAATGACTGGGTGAAAGGGAGAACAACATCATGAGACTGAGCTGTTGAACTAAATTGAGAAAAGAGAAGTGAGATGTATATATTTGCTCTCTGAATTGTGAAAGTCTATCGGGGTAGAGTCATTTAACTCTGAGTAGACTTTATATTTAATGCACAACATCTACTGCTACAACAGATGCCCAATCTAGTTTATAACTATTGAGGGAAGAATAGAAAAATTTAATTGATAATTATAATCTACTTGATGATTAATAATGAAGAAATGTATTTATTTTAGTATAATAATTATTATAATATACACAGTTTACAGATATCACACGTGTGACTGTATAAAACCACAATAGTAAAATAAGTAATGTAATTTGCATTTCTGTAAAATTAGGAAAAAATAGATGTGATTTTTATTTATATTTAGGAAAAATAAATAAAAATTTTATAAATCAAATCATGAAATAATGAAATAGTTCTAATAATAGTCTAATGAAA